GGGCCATGGACGCTGGCCTGATCCAGAGCAGAGGCTGGTGGGCTGGAGCGCAGGACAGGGCTGGGTCCCAAGGAGACTCAGATGAAGCTCCTGCCCTCTGGAGGCTTAGGGGCGTCAGGGCGACTGGCTCTCACCCCCCAGCCCTGGCTTCCCCTGGCTCTGCGCCCCACTCTGGGTCCCCAGAGCCTTCTGGAAGGTTTCTCTCAGCACCTCATCCAATTTCTACACATTGGAGACAAGGCTACGGGGACCCGAGATAGGCAGGGTGGGCCCACCGTCCACAGCAAGGGGAGCCAGAGCCCTGGGCCCCCAGTGGGCAGGACAGAGCCCCTCCCCAGAGCTCCTGTGGGCGGGAAGCCCCCCCAAGGCCAGAGCTGCTGGGGCCGTTCCCGCCTCCCTTGTCGGAACTCTGAATTCCTCCTCCTGTCCAGGTCCTCAGATGGGAGAGTGTTTGACGGGCCACACGCGTGCCCGACCCTTGGATAACTCTGACCAACTTTCTGTCCAGTGGGGTCAGCTGTAGAGCCACTTCTGAAAAGGGCCCCTGAGCGGCTGCTGGGGCCGCCCTGGCCCAGCTCGTCCTCACGGTGGGAGCTGACAGCCCTTCTCAGGCTGGGTCCTCTCACTCTGCTAGAGTCACACACCACCCCTCACCCCCGCAGTGGCGGGTGCACACGTGGGGAAAGCACAGCAGGCAGCGCTGAGTCTGGGAAGACCCGTGTGCACCCAGCCCCACCGACTGTGGGTGTCTTGCTCCTGGGAGCTGCCGGCCACACCTCCCACGGGCCTGGGGTGTTCTTGGGGGCTGCACCCACAGGTGGGCACTCCATGGCCCTGCAGTGGCCCCGCTCGGCCAGCAGAGGAAGGTGGCTGCCTGCTCAGTGGCCTCGGGCTCTGGCAGGTGCTCTCCCGTGAGCGAGCTGAGCCAGAGAGAGGGCGCTGAGGTCAGAGGGATGGATGGAGCAGATTTTATTTTGGGTATCGGCAACCTACCCCTCGGGGTGCCAGGCCCGTGGTGCCGCAGGACAGCATTGAGCAGGCACTGCTGGACGGGCTGCCGGCCGCCGAGGGCCTGCAACAGGTAATCCACACCCGGGTCCACCTGGCCAGGCCGGGCTGGGGTGGGAGGAGAGGGGGGCAGGGCAGGGCCGCCCCGAGGGGCTGGAGGGGGGCTGGAGATCTGGGGCGGAGGCACGGGACGGGGTGGCCCAGCCCAGGTTGGGTGGGGGACTGATCTCAACCCCAGGAAGGATCTGAGGGCTGCTGGGGCAGGGCCTCCACCCGGGGACAATAGGAGTAGGGGTGGGCTTCTCAAGTCTGCAAAGCTGAGCTGAGCCAGGGAGCAGTGAGGAGGCCGTGGGGGCCCAGCCCCCCCCCAAAGATTTGGCTCTAGGTTTCTGCAGGGGTGACCCTCAGAGTGGTGGGGAAGGGCAGGGGTCCCTCAATCTTGGTCCTGGCCCGCAGTGTGCACGGTTGAGGGTGGCGAGGCCCAGGGACCTTGAACCTCGAACCTCGCCTGGTAGCCCTGAGCTGACCTGGGTGCCCACGCCAGTGCCAGCCGAGCTCCCGGTCAGCCCAGCCCACGGGCTCGAGCTCTGCCAGGCCCCAGATAGAAGCTGCTGACACAGCACTTCGGGGATGAGCCTTTCCCAGCCTGCGCTGCTGCTGCCCCACACGCCCTGGGGGCTTCCGCGGGAGTTGTAATAGCTTTGCTCTGTGCGGGGCTGGCGTCCAGTGCCTGCAGCAGGGGAGCAGAAGGGTGCCTGGCGGGGCCTCTCAGGCAGTCGGAACGGAGGGCAGAGGGCCAGCACCCGGGCAATGGCTCCCCTGAGCCTCTCCACCTCTGTGGTGGGCAGGCCCTGACCCCCAGGTTCTGCAAGGCAGGGGCCGGTTGTCACCACCGCAGAGAAGACAGACCCTGGGTCCTTGTCCCCGAGGCCGGACCGAGTGCCAAGGAGCCCGAGAGGGGCTGTGCTGGATCCGGGCTGAGTGGCTGGCTGCTTTCCTGGCACTGCCCACCCTACCCGCCACTCGCCCCTCAGTGCCGTCCACTCTGGTCCCCTCTGGCCGTCCAGTGGGCCATGTGGCTGCCTCTGCCTGCTGCCCTCGGCTAACGTCCCACCCAGCCAGGTAGACAGGAGGGGCGCGTGCCCTGGGAGAAGCTCCCCAGCTGGCAGAGCACAGCCCTGATGCGCCCTCAGAAGTGGGCCGCGGGAGACAAAGGTGTGACATAGCTGATTTCTAACACCTCTGAGCTGCCCATGTTCACGTTCCCCTTGGGAGGCAGCAAGAGTTTGACCACGAAGACTTTGGAAAACAGGTTCTGAGCAGACCCAGGCCTCGAATGCCAAAGGTCTAGAGGGCCTGCTCTTCGAAGGGGCTCCCCTGACTCCGAGGGCAGCAGGGCCTCACGTTAGACCTGTGCACAGGCCGGGCGTGGGGGGTGGGCTCAGGAGGACAGCCCCACCCTGTCCCCGCCTTCACACGCGTGTCCATCCACCCACAGCACCTCCATTTTCACAGGTACATCCTCACCGTCACTGTCTGTTTCCCTCCCTCCCTCCTTCCCTCCTGCCTTCCCCCTGTCCATCGCCCATCCATCCACCACCCCCCATGTGTCCAACCACCCACCAGCCATCCACCCACCGTTCCGTGGAGCAGGCGTTCATCTGACTGCCTCTCCATCTCTTCTCCTGTCTACTCTCTGTACAACTACTTTTCTGCCCATTGACCTCTCATCCCTTCTGCAGACCCACCCATCCACCTGTTCTTTAACTATCCACCCGTCACCCAAGGATTCAACACCTCTCTTTCTATTTATACACCAATCCGTCCTTCCACCCATCCCACCATCCACCCATCCATCCATCCATCCATCCATCCATCCATCCATCCATGCCTCCATCCAGTCATCCATCCATCTTTCCATCCATCCATCCAACCACCTAACCATCCACCCATCCAGCCAGCCATCCAATCACCTACCTATCCATCCTTCCCTCCATCCCTGCATCCATCCATCATCCATCATCCACTCATCCATCCATCCACCAAATCTTCACTGAGCACCTCTTGGGTGCTGGGAAGGGATGACCCCAAGGTGGGTCTTGTACTCAAAGGGTGCACAGTCTAGGGGCACAGACCAGAAGTGCACAGTGTTTCAGGGGCTGCAGAGTTTATAAGGGGCCAGTTAAGGGGCAAGTACCACAGTGGAAGAGGACGACTGAGCCCCCACCCATCACATTCACGCTGACTACCCTCAGAGACCCCAGAGTCTAACACACAGAAGGCCACTGGACAGGACAGTGTCCAAATCTGAAGGCCAGAGGCCTGGGCCCTACCACTGTGCAGGGCGGATGGCCTTTCCAATGGGCCCTGCTCCCTGCCCCTCCCCCGTCAGTGAGCCCCAGAGAGCCAGCACGTGGAGACACCAAAGGGAGTTTACTGCACAAAGTGGAGGGCTGCAAGTGGGGCAGGGTGGGGGGGCCCAGTGCTGTTGCGGGTGTTGGTGGCTTTTGACACGGAGGCCCCAGCACGTGGCCTCTCTCTGCACCGGCTGCGCCTTCCCTGGGAGCTTGCAGCTTCTCTGGAGGCGGTCCTTTTGCCAAGCAACAGCCTGAGTTCCTTTCCTCCCGGAACTGTGAGGGGCAGAGCTGGGGGTCAGAGGGAAAGGTTGGAGGGTCCAGGAGCAAGAGGTGACGGATGTCGCGGGTGCACGCGGGCCAGGCAGACCATGAGAAGCAGATTCTAGGCCGGGGCCAGTGGGGGGCGGGGGGCGTTCATCCTGCCGGCCTCTCCTCTGGGCACATGGATCGGGAGCCAGGAGGTGCCGCCGGCGGTGCTGCAGTCTTGGGAAAGCTGAAACACAGGTCGGGGGAGCATCAGGCTGCAGTCCGAGGAGAGGCCGTGGCTCTGCCTGTCCAGGCCTGCAGCCTCTCTCTGGGGGTTCCTGGCCTGCCCATCCCACCCCGCTTCCCCCAGCCCAGGAGGAGCAGCCTCCCTGCGACAGCCCCCGAAACCCTGCGTCCACCCGGAGGTGGAGGCCTGGAAGCCTGCTTCCTGATACTGTGCTCTGGTGCCCTGGGCCCTGCTCGGGATTCAGGGTGGAGGGACGCTGCCTACTGCCTGTTTGCCAGCTGGCCTGACAGCCCCCAGGCTAAACCTGGGGTCCCGGCTCCCCCTCACCGAGGTGGGCAGCAGCCCAGAGCGAGCCCCAGCAGACCCCTCGGGCCCCTCCCCGAGCAGACGACGCACTCCTGCCTGACAGAGCCGGCCTCATGGCAGCAGCCCCCAGGCCTCCCTCCTCCCCCAGGCCGGCGGCCCTGGCTCGGCCCAGCCGCCATTTGTCAACGTCCTCGGGAGCACGTGGCGCCCAGAAACCAGGGCGGGCGGCTTGGCCGGGACCACCCCGCCGGGACGTCTGCGGGAACATCCCATTTAGCGTAGCTCAGCGAAAACCGCTCCCACCTCCCACCCCGTCTACCTCTGATGATGCAGCCGCAGCCTTCCCGAGCCTCTGGCCGCCACCTCTCCGCTGGCTCACAGCGGACGCGCCTGTGGTCAGGCCGGCGACAGCAAGGCGGCCCTCACGCTTGCGGGCGGGCACTCTTCCTGCCCTCGCAGGCGGCCAGCCCAGCACGTGCCTCCCGCTTGGCGCCCGCCTGTGGGCCTCCCGGCCCCCACTGTGCACACGGGCGGCAGCCGGAGCCAGGTCCCAGCCCTCCTCCGTCACCCACGGAGCACCTCGGGCCTCCGTGGGCTCGTTTCTAAACCGGGATGATGGTGGGGCCGCCCCATAGGCATGCAAACGCTCATGCCTGGAGCGCGCCTGGCAGGGGCCACGTGCTCAGGGAGCAGAGCTTCTGATGGTCAGGCTGCAGGCCCTCTGGGCCTGGGTCCTCTGCGTGACTAGGGGCTGTGTGCCCTCCCGCAGGGAGGCGGCCTGTGGGGAAGAGGGTTGGGCCCACGGCTGTCCCTCCCGCCTGCCCTAGGGTGCAGCAATGCTCACCTCGGCTGCCTCCGTGGCCCCTGAGATGGCTGGCCGGTGCCCCCCGGGGCCCCCGGGACCGCCCCCACCGCTGCTGCCCAAGCCCGGGAAGGACAACCTGCGTCTGCAGAAGCTCCTGAGGAAGGCAGCCCGGAAGAGGACGAGCAGGGCCGGGCCGCCTGCCCCGCCCGGGCCTTTCCGCACGTCCTTATCCCCCGTGAGCGAGGCCGGCCGTGACCAGGAGACCCTGGCCCCGCGGCCCGCGGAGGCGCCACGGGCGGTGGCCACCCTGCCCTGCTCCCCCCACACCCGCGTCATCCACCACGTGGCGTCCCCCCTGCAGAGGTCCACGTTCTCCTTCAGCCTCACCCAGCACAGGAGCCTGGCTTCACACTCCAAGCCCACGGGGCCCCGGCTCGCAGACCCGGTGCCAGAACCTGCGCAGTCCCCCTGCGGCTTTGCGCAGGTCTCAGGCCCCACCGTGAGGGGCACCCACATCAGCCAGGTGCACTTCCGCCGGGCACCGTCCCCGCAGGCTGGGACCCCTGAGCCCTCCCCAGTGGCCCCGGATGGTGGGCCTGGCGACCGGGCCCAGGGCACAGCCATCCGCCCTCCCAGGGCTCAGCCCCTGCTGCCTGTGGTCCGCATCCACTCACCGCCCGCCAGGGCCCAGGCTGCCAGCCCTCGGCACGGCGAGCCCTCTGTGCCCAGGCCGGCCCCCGGCTTCCAGGCCTCGGGGCCCAGAGAGGCCAGCAGCCGGGTGGTGGTGTCCATTGCCCCCACCTACCGCTCACCAGGACCCTCGCCTTACAGGCCGGCCTCTGTGGCCCCCGAAGCTGGGCACCGGGAGAACCGCCCCTCGGCCGGCCCTGCCGCTGAGGCTGAGCAGGTCTCCAGCCCCCGCGAGGCCTCATCCCCTGCCCCACGGTCAGGCCCCCACCCGTGCCCTGTCCCCAAAGTCGCGCCCAAGCCCCAGCTCAGCGGCTGGACACGTCTCAAGAAGCAGCTGCTGGAAGAGGCCCCCTTCCCGGAGCCAGAGCCGAGCCCGGGGCACGCGGGGCTGGGAGGGGCAGCCCCCACTGTCTCGGCGCCCCGGCCGGCCCCCGCCTCACGGTCCTCCAGGATGTGGGACGCAGTGCTGTGCCGCATGTCCGTGGCCGAGTCCTGTGGCGGCCAGGTGGGGCCCCGGGATGGGGTGCGCGCCCCTCCTGGCCTCAGCCGCCTGCCCTTCCTTTGCTGGCCTCGCTTCAACGCCCGGAAACTGCAGGAGGTGGCCGCCCAGCCCCCTCCCACGCGCTACCCCATCCCGGCCCTGAGCCCCCAGCCCAAGAACTTCAATCGTTCGGCAGCTGGCTGGAGGCTCCAGTGAATGGCCGGCGGGGGGGGACCCCAGGACCGTGGGGTGGACAGAAGAGGGGCTGAGGGTCCAGCTGGGAAGCCGCAGTCACAAAGGACCGTGGTGGGAGGTGGGACGCGGCCGGGAGCAGCTGGGATTAAGGAGGCGGCGGGTTTGGATGGCGTGGAGGGGCAGGGAGGGCTCTGCATTGGGGTGAGGTGTGGGGACTTCTGGGGCGAACTTCTGGGGAGACAGACCGTACACGAGTCTGCTCTGAGGCTGGGGCTGCATGTGTGACCCTGCAGGGCAGGGCCAGCCTGAGTGTCCGCACGGGGCTTGGGGCAGGAGTGCAGGAGGTGGTCACCAGCGAGACCTGGGAGGACCTGCCTGGGTCCAGGGAAGCTGCAGGCGGGGATCAGGGCCTAGCTGAGCCCCAGATGCTCTGGGTGATGAGCCCCGATGCTTGACAGGCTGAGCAGGATTCTGGGGCCCCCGCCCTTCTGCCGAGAAAGGCTGGGGGGACGAGTTATGTTGTCGTGCGGAGTGGGAGTGGTTGGGGTGACTCAGTCGCGGGCACCGTGGGCTCCGTTAGCTGCATCGACGGCTTGACAGCCGTGCCTCCCAAGGACGGAGGCCTGACAGGTGCGGGGAGCCAGGTCCAGGCCCGGGTGGGAGCTGGCCCCACACCCCTGCCCCTTCACTGCCACCTCTGCTCCCCCCGCCTGGGTGCAGAGCTTGAGGGGGACTCGCTGATGGGAGACAGAGGGGTGGGGTCTCAGCCTAGATGCTGGATGAGGAGGGAGGTCTGAAGTCAGCCTGGCCAAGTGGGGGGGTGGGCTGTGGCCCGGAGGGGGCAGCGACGGGGACCCCCAGTCTGCACTCAGCTGGGGTCTGACTCGGGACAAGCGCTGGGGCCCAGACGGGGCAGCCGTGATGCGAGGGGGACACGGAGGTGCTGGGGGGAAGCTCCAGCCGCAGCCCCCGGAGCAGGACTCAGAAGGGGAGGAAGCCATCAGGAGGCGACATGATGGATGCTGTAAACGGATCCTGGGACCCAGGCCGCTAATAAAAGTGTGCGTAACCATGGCAGCGGGTCACCCTTCTGACTCTTCACCAGGTGCCGGGGTGGGCGGTGGAAACGGGAGCGGCTCCTCACTGGGGCAGGAGGGCGAGGACAAGGTTCTGGCTCCTTTGAAACCCTCACAGCCCACTGCCAGGTGGGGACCTGAGCTCCCGGGGCTCCGTGTCAACCCCCTCCTGCCACGCTCGCCCTGTGGTGGCCGGGCCGGGCTCACCTGCCCGAGGAGCCCGGCTGGGAGATGGGGCCTCCTCCCAGCAGGGAGTCTGCACTTCCCTGTGGGCTACGGGAGCAGGGCAGGAACCAGGGGACGGTGGGGATGGCAGGGGGCACGAGTCTGTGGACTGGAGGACCAGCAGAGACGGGCTGTGGCCAGCTCTGAGGCCGGGCATTCAGCCCTCACACGTCACCTCGCAGTCCCTGCCACCACGCACCCAGAGCGGCGAATTCCGCCCATGACACATCGCGCTCTGGCCGCTGCCCCCGACTCACCGAGAAGGACGGCCTAGGGCGCCGAGCCCTCGTCCACGAGCACTTTCTCATACTTCCCGTGTCCAGTGGCCACAAATTTGTACCTCTTCGCAGACGGGGTGTTCTGTCGGGGAAGGAGGTTGAGAGCAAAGGTGAGAGGCGCAGCGGGAGATGGCGCTGCCTCCTGGAAGCCCCCCCAGGTGCGCTGAGGGCAGCTCCCCTTCCCCTAACCCGCTGGACCCGCCCTCCCTCATCAGTCACATTCCGACTCTACCTTAAGCGTCAGCGAAGCCTTGGGGCCTCCTTTCTGCTCCCAGAGGTTCCTCTTGCTCAGGTCTCCAGCTACAATATCCTGGGGGCAGAAGGCGGCCACGTCACAGGGGCAGAGCCCTGACTTGGGGGCTTGGAGCCCTGGTCACTTCTCCTGCCTGGCCTCGCAGGGCCAAGGCCCCGGGGCCCACACACCTGCCTCCTTGGGTGAGAGCCCAGGGGAAGAGGCCGGGAAGGGAAGGTGACACGGTCCATCTTCACCTGGCCCAGCAGCCTTCCCGCCCAGCCCTCCACAGGGGCCAGCCTGGCGGAGACCCCGTCCCCCATGCATCACAGTGCCCTCTGCCCACACTTCAGCCTGGACAGTCTCACGCTAGCCTTCCAGAGGGAGCCCAGCCGTGCCCCGGGATGGGAGCCTACCTTGCAGGCGGGGGACTTGGCGGAGGACTGAGCCTGCACCTCTCCCGTCTCCCAGCGACTCTTGGTGCTCGCCACGGCCATGCTGGGCAGCTCGATGGACGGCTGGCGGGCTAGCTTTGGGGTCCGGCCAGAGGTCTGCAGAGGAGAGAGAGCCCAGGACCACTTTACTGGACAGCCACATGGAACACATCAGAGAGGCCTGTGTGAGCCTCTTCGGCACACAGATGACGTCCTCTGTATGGCTGCATTCCCCCAGGACTGCTTTTCCAACGCAGGGCTGGAGGAAGGCACTCTGGAAAAACGTGTCTTCCTCCCCTCGGTGTATTTGTGAAACACCCCCCTTGCTCTGCAGAGCACAGGTGATGGGTGAGATACGAGACAAATGTGCGGCTGTCCTCGTGCTGCCCCTGGCACCGGGTCGGAGGAGCAGGGGTTGAACGGAAGGGTGTTGGTTGGATGGAATGATGGTTGGGTGGAGAGGAGTTAATTGGATGAAAGTAGATGGAGGGGTGTTGGTTGGAGGGAGGGGGTGTAGATTGGATGGAAGAGTGTTAGTTGAATTAAAGGGTGTTAGTTAGTTGGATGTGTGGGGGGGTGTAGGATCAATGGAGGGACCCTGGTTGGATGGAGTGGGTTGGTTGCATAAAGGGGTGCTGGCTGGATGGAAGAGTGCAGGTGAAAGGGCAGGAGTTGGTTGGACGGAGAGACATTGGTTGGCTGGGGAAATGGGTGCATGAATGGAGGAGGCCCTGCAGAAGTGGAGGGGCCTGTGCGTACCTCGATGGCCTGCGTGTACTGCTCCAGCCTCTCTTCAATCGTGGAGATGGGCAGGGCTGGCTGGGACTTCATGCTGTTACTGGCGGAGAGAAGGGTCACGGCCCCCCACTCAGCTTCTGTGCCCACCCTGAGCTCCTACCAGAGCTTTCTCGGGCCCCCAGATCTCCACCTACTGGGTCCCCTCTTCAACCCTCCCTTGGAGAACCCCGAGTCCTGCCCGGGAAGCAACCAGACATACCTCTTCTGAATGGAGCGGTGCAGGGACTCAGTTCTGTCGCTGAGCTGTGGAGGGCGGACAGAGGCTGAGCCTCCGAAGCCAGAGCAAGGCCCCCAGCCCACCCCTCCCAGCTGCTCCCACCCACCAGTCCCATCGCCCAGTTTATGCGTTTCACAAGGCTCTGCTGAGAGCCAGCCCGGCAGAGATGGAGGAGGCTGTGCTCCTGTCCTGGAGCTGCCCTGTGGCTGCCTCTCTGGGACTCTCATTGGTCATGAGTCCGGGACAGAGGACTAGGCTTTGGGGCTTAACCTACTTTGGTGCTGGGGCTCAGGGGAGGCGAGCCCGGGTCCGTCCCCTCCAAGACCAAGGGGCTGGGTGTCCTGCGCTGCTGGCATCTCTGGTGCTGGGAACAAAACGTCTGCGGTTACGGGGTCTGAATGATCGCCCCCTTTGCACCCCTCCTGCCCCACCCGGGACTGGTTGAAGGGAACGCTTTCCCCTCCCTGGGCCTCAGGTCCTTTCCCGCCCTGCCATTCTCTGGTTCTGGAATTCTCTGCAGCAGGAACCGGATGAGTCCAGGGAAGCGTCGTTCCATGAGGCAGGGTCACCAACCCCACTACCCTCTGAGACTGCGGGGGTGCTGGCTCCCTCCGGGCCCATCCCACGAGGCCCGCAGGGCATGCAGGTAGCAGAGACAGATGCAGCCCGGGGGCCGGGGTGTGCCCAGACCCTTTGCGGAGCCACCGGCACCTGCTCATCATCTGCCTCCTTGGTCTCTGCCAGCCCTGGGCTTCCCTGGACGGGTCCCTCGGGGCCTTTGGGCTCTGTGTCCTCTGTTCCCGGCCCCTCCTGAGGCTCTGAGTCGGGGCTCAGACGCAGCTCCTCCAGACAGACCCCGGCTGGGGTCAGCTCGTCGTCACCCTGGCTCTCAAAGGTGTGCTGGCGGGGCCTGTGGCGGGGAGGGGGAGGCAATCCAATAGACCGAAGGTCATTTGATCACTTCGAGTCCCTTCCCGTTTCCAAGCCTCAGTTTCCCCATCTGTAAGATGGGCGGTCAGACCAGTTAAGCGCCCAGGAATCTCGAGACGCTGGCCTCTTTGGGGAAGTGAGCCCAAGGACCTCAGAGCCTGCCCTCTGTCCCCAGGGCCATGCGACCAGTGTCCACCGCCCCATCCCTGCACACTGAGGCTAGGCCCGGGCTCCAGGCCCTCAGGACCAGCCCCGGCCCGTGTCTCGCTTGTTGGTGTCCCTGCTGGCTGGCCTCCTGGGGCCGGGGCCGCCTGGGCCCCCCCCCCCCCCC